ATACTCCCCCGGGCCAGCCTTGGTGCCCAAGAGCCTGGGGGGGGGGGCGGCGGGTGTTGAGGCCTCCCCGAGGCTTTGTGTGTGTAGTATTGGGAGAAGGGAATGATGAAAAGCACGAGAGTAGACACCCACAGGGAAGGCCTCACTCCTGCTCATTGGCCTGAGAAAGGATCTCCATGCTGTTACCTGTCTGTCTTGCCTCCATATAAGGGGATATCATTGCCTGTTTGGAAGCCAGAGGATCGGAGATTGTGGTTTTCTTAAACAGTTTCTCAGCATTTACAATGAAATCTCCACTTTTTGCTCCCATCTTGACCTGAGGTCAGTCTCAACCTTTTACCCAAGACTGGAGGTAGTAAGGGAGTGAACAAAAGGTCTGTGGAATGTTATCTGCCCCTTCCACGGACCCTTTTCTGCTTATGTCCTTTGTCTGGAAGACTGATAAAAGGACAACATCCACCTATATTGTGTTCTCTCCCTATAATCAGATTCTCAGGGAAGAATCTTCTCCTTTTCTCTCCATCCTGCCCCACTCTGCCTTCCAAGGAGGAAGGCAAGTTTTGTATTTTTTTTCCTTCTTGGTTTTCTCTCTTTCAAATTCTCCCTACCCATCATTGCTTCCTGTTGGAGGTTGTAAGTGGTGGTACTGTTGGGAGAGCTCTGGGCTGTGAAACCTCTTTCCTCAGGTTCCTGCATACATTTGGATACAAGCTAACCTTGTTCTCCGGGGTCTCTCCAGGTGTCAGAATACTGACAGCTGCTGTCTGTTGCTTGTCTGTACCCAGCATGGGGCTCTGATTTCCAGGCAGTTACTACCTTTAACCTTTGGGAGGGTGTATAAGCTGGGGGCTTAGTCAGTGGATTCTAGGAGGAATTGACTGCCTGAGATCTGGAGTGGCTTTTATATACTACTGGGCTTTTGTCATTTACCTTTCCCTCCTGTGACCTCTCCTTTCCCTGAAGCTATTCTCTCTGCTTCCGTCTGAGAGGGATGCTGTCCTCTGTGATTGGCATGGAGGAAACTGAGGTCAAAAGGTTAAAAGAAATCCTAGAGGTTCAGTTTAACATGAGTTTAAAGACTAGAGTTCTTGGAGAGAAGTATTATATGGGTATGTTTGAGAAAGTCCAGGATTGTTTTGAAGAGCCTACAGATATTAGGGTGCCTGCCTTGGGCTTGTATCTAGGCCAGTTTATTCAGGGATAGTAGACCTTTTTGCCTGCCATTTCTCTATTAGGTAGGATATAAGTAAGGTTTTCCTTACATCATTATCTTCTAGAGATCTATACAGATCCCAGAGAAGTCCCCTCCAGAAAGATCCTGTGACAGTTCTATTTGGCCTGCCTTTCTTAATAAGCAGTTTTGCCCAAGATTTTCATCTCTCCCTCTCTTCTTCCCTCCCCCCAAAAAAAGTTCCCACAAGTTAGTGGACAGCCTTGTCCTGTTCAGTGAGTCCTGAAGAGCCCTCCCTCTCTCCCCTCTCTTCCACATAGGCTGGATTCCATAAAGCCTGAGGCTTTTATGACCCAAAGTACTGTTGTGGCACCAAGATAAGAGGGTCCTGGCAGCTCACATTACAGGGTGAAGCTCGAGAAAGAGAACGAAATTCTCCCCTCTTGGGCACTCAGTATTAAACAACATCAGTTATTTGCTGGCAGCAGAATTTTTACCTCCTGGAGCTCTTTCTGCTGCTCTTAGAACTAGGTGACAGTGCCTCTTTTCTGCCTTCTTTTCACAAATAGTTTCTAGTTCTTGTCTGAGGAGAGTGGCTTCCAGAATGTCTCCACTTGACCTTACTACTCTTCCAGGGGCTTCTCTCTCAAGCGCAGGGATTGTGGGAGATATAATAGGAGCCCTCATCATTCCTTTCCTCTCTCTCTCTCCCTAGTATATCCAAGCTGAACCACCCACCAACAAGTCCTTGTCTAGCCTAGTGGTACAGTTGCTACAGTTCCAGGAGGAGGTATTTGGCAAACACGTGAGCAACGCACCACTTACCAAGCTTCCGGTGAGTCTACAGGGCCAAGGCAGGTGGGTATCCCAACAACCTGGGGAGGGACCTAGGCCATTTAAGTACTGTATCTTTCCTTCTCTAGCCAACCTGAGGATATTGCTGGCTTAGCCTAGTTAGCAACATTTGGGCAATATCTGTCTCACAGCATCTCAATTTACCCCTAGGCTACTCTACCCCTATCTAGGGATTTGTCTAAAGGATAAAATCTTGAAGAAATGCTCTCAGCTTAGGGGCAGATATTATTGCTGTACTTTGCTTTCTGAAGTGAAATGATAAGGAGGGAGGGAGTAGGTAGCTTTTACCACTCCCTCTTCAGCTGCTTCTTCCACATGCCACTTCTGGTTTTGCAGATCAAATGTTTCCTAGATTTCAAAGCAGGAGGTTCCCTGTGTCATATCCTTGCAGCTGCTTACAAGTTCAAGAGCGACCAGGGATGGTGAGAGATCTTCAGACTCTTTTTAGATTCAGTTTGGTGGGAATGGGCCACCCTCCTGATCACCCAGAGTCTTTTAAAGGGGATGGCTAAGAATAGTAGTGACCATTTCATTGTGGCAGTGGCAGTGGGTTTGACCTAGTGGGAGAGCAGGGATTATTTTGAACTGTCATTTTCTTTCTCCTTTAGACTAAATATATTTTTTACTTTGTATTCTGAGAGGAATCTGTGCCCAGTTTGGGAGTGGGGAGAAGGTTTTTCTCCAACAGCAACGTGAGAAAACAAAACAGGTGGGCTAGCCAAAGGACTTAGCAAGAGGGTGGGGTTCAGGGGAAATCTTAACAGGTGAGAGCCTGAGCCTCTCAGATCAGCTGGCCTTAGGAGCAGCAACAGGGGCCTGCCAGCTAGAGGCTCTTTTTGTGCCTTGTTTTAATTCCCTAAGTTATGAAGTCATGTGTCCCCCCACCCCCATCCCCAGGCCTGAGCCATGCCACTCACTGGGCTCTTGCCTTCCCACAAGGCGGCGTTACGATTTCCAGAATCCATCCCGCATGGACCGAAACGTGGAAATGTTCATGACCATTGAGAAGTCCCTTGTGCAGGTAACATCTAAGAGTATCGCACTTGACTCCTTCCTTACTTTGCAGTGAGAATTCAGAATGCTCCAACCACCTAACTGTCTGCTTGTCCTTTCTACAGAATAACTGCTTGGCTCGACCCAATATTTTCCTACACCCTGAGATTGACCTTAAGCTGCTAGGAAAATTGAAGGACATTATCAAAAGGCATCAGGTAAATAGATGTGCCTGAGGGATCCCTGTGAAATCCCACGACTTTTTCCCTTTTTAATCTTTCTCCCTAAGAAGTAGCATTGAAAGGCTCTCGTTTTCTACCCCAAGGCTAGTCTTTGCTGCCTTCCTTACTACCTAAAGAAATAGGAAGAAGGTGAAACTCAAGACATTGAGCCTCTTCCAGGTTCTGTTCTGCTTATCCCAAGCAATAATTGGGGATCTGTATCACCAGTCTAGGGGTTAGTCTTATACCTTTATTATATGAGGATACTATGTGAAACAACTAGCTAACATAGAATATTGAACTAGTATTTGCAATTAAGTAAATTGACTTTGAATTTTTTCATTTGTAGCTTGTCTTCTTGTTAGGTCAGAAATCTTTAAATCCTATATAGGTTTTTCCTCACTACCTAATAAATACCTAGCTGTTTTCCTCTGACGCTGAACTTATATATCCCTAGGGACTTTAGACTAATTATAATATCATCCAAAGAAAATTACCCATAGGGATAGGTGGTACTGCCTTGGAGTCAGGAGAACCTGAGTTCAAATACAACCTCAGACACGTGACACTTACTAGCTGTGTGACCCTGGGCAAGTCACTTAACCTGAATTGCCTCACCCAAAAAAATAAAAAGAAAGAAAATTATTCGTAGAAAGGCAAATCCACTGTTAAAGGATCCATTCAGAGTTGGGACTTGGACTGTCATTTATTTTGGACACAACTTGCTTCCTCCTATTAACAGAGATCACTGAGAGTGAACCATATTTACTTTTTCCTGCCTGATGCATTGATTTATTCTGATCTCAGGGAACAGTAACTGAAGATAAGAACAATGCCTCCCATATAGTATGCCCTGTTCCTGGGAACCTGGAGGAAGGTAAGCTTCAATGTGACCCACAGCCAGGGTCAGCTTGCTGGTTGTATGCTGAGGAAGAGAGCCTTATCAACTAAACCATTCTACTCCTCTCCTTCACTCAGAGAAAACTCTGACAGAGGAGAAAGGACTTGGAAGGATTTTTCAGTCCCTGGGTTCCCTGACTCCATAATATTCCTCTTGCCCAGTCTCCTGATATATCAGGGGTGGAGTTCAACTTCATCTCTGGGTCCCTTTTGCTTTACTTTTCACCCATATTCCCAGCTCACACTCCTCTGTCTTCTCTCCCTTCCCTTCTGCCCCCCAGAGGAATGGGTACGGCCAGTCATGAAGAGGGACAAACAAGTTCTTTTGCACTGGGGCTACTATCCTGACAGGTGAGAATTTGGCCCTGATCCCTAAGGGGTTTTAGGAACATCAGTCAGACTCAGAAGTCCCATAATGTTGGACAGAGCATCTGCATGAAACCATCCTTAGTGGGACTGGTAGCTGGATGGTATAGAGGCAGTCAGAATCAGAGATCCTGGTCAGAGTGATTTTCAGATACCCAAAGAGCTCTTTGTGTTGAATTAGTTATTTGGAGCTTAAAAGATAAAAAGAAAAGTGTCTGTATATGATTTCTTCCTCGTTTATTCCTCTCATTTGTGCAATGTCATGCTTGGTTTTCCCATGACAGTTATGATACCTGGATTCCAGCAAGTGAAATTGAAGCTTCTGTGGAAGATGCACCCACACCTGAGAAACCAAGGAAGGTAACTAGTGCAACAGATTTAATACACATTTATTAAGCACCTACTGTGTTTGGTACATTGGAGATAAAAAGAAGGAAAATAATTATCTCTTCCCTTTACTTTGTAATCTAATTAGGTAGCTCATGGTCTGTACACAAATAACTATTGACAGGGCAAAGGAGAGGTCCAGGTAAAGGATCTCATAAACTTTGAGGCATAGAGAGTGATATCTTTCAGCTGGGAGGACACTTGCAGGGGACCTTGCAGGAAGAGAAGGATTTTTTAATTTTAGTTTTCCTTTTTTTATTTAGTATTTTATTTTTCCCCATTTACATGTAAAAACAATTTTTAACATTCGTTTTTGAAACTTTTGAGTTCCAAATTCTCTCCTATCCTTTTTCCCCAACCACTCCTCCCCAGCCCCATTGAGAAGGCAAGCAATTCAATCTAGGTTATACATGTAAAACATAAATTATGTAAAAACATATCCGTAATAGTCATGTAGTGAAAGAAAACATAGACCAAAAAAAAAAATTCAAGAAAAATTTTAAAAAAGCATGCTTCAACCTGTATTCAGATACTATCAGTTCCTTCTCTGGGGATGGATTGCATTTTTCATCATTAGTCCTTCAGAGTTGTCTTGGATCATTGTATTGCTGGGAATAGCTAAGTCATTCACAGCTGATCATCTTACAGTATTGCTGTTACTTTGTCCACAGTACACTTTGCATCAGTCCATGCAAGTCTAGGAAGAGAAGGATTTCAACAATTGAAAATGAGGAGAGGGGCAGCTAGGTGGTGCAGTGGATAGAGCACTTGCCCTGAAGTCAGGAGGACCTGAGTTCAAATCCGGCCTCAGACCAAATACTTGACATTGAGAACCCCCCCTGACCAAGTCACTTAACCCCAATTGCCTAAAAAAAAAAAATGGGGAGAGAATTCATTCCAGGCATAGAGGAAAGTGTTCTTCCTCTTTGCCCTATTTGGGGTTCTAGGCTTACTCTTTGAGAGCAAATCAGAGGTTTTCATGGCCTCCCCAGATTCAAACCATTTGAGGTTCATAATGTCCCAGGGCAAGTTGGGAAGCTTCACAGAGGCCTTCTGAGCATGGCCTCTGCTCCACAGGTTCATGCAAAATGGATTCTAGACACAGATACTTTCAATGAGTGGATGAACGAAGAAGACTATGAAGTGAATGATGACAAAAACCCTGTGTCTCGCCGTAAGAAGATCTCAGCTAAGACACTGACAGATGAGGTGAGATGCCTTGCTTCTTCTTTCCTTTCTGAGTGTGCCCACAATGGGTGCCCTTTCCTTTGACGCTGTCCTCTAACATGGGTCCCAATTCCTCATATCCAGGTGAACAGCCCAGATTCAGACAGGCGGGACAAGAAGGGTAGTAACTACAAGAAAAGAAAGCGTTCTCCCTCTCCTTCTCCAACCCCTGAAGCCAAAAAGAAAAATGCAAAGAAGGGGTATGTGACTGTCTTCACTTCTGTTCATTAGCCCAAAGAAAAAGCTGCTCAAACTCAGCTCTCCAGATGAAAAACTTGTGCTATTCTTCATCATCCTACAATTTGAGAAGCTTTCCTTATAGTTAGCAATTATCTTGAGGACTCTTTCCTGATTTTCTTCCCTATGAATCCTCCCAGGGACTTTTACGAAGATGAAATTGACCTCTTTTCCCTCTCTGTATCATATATAGCCCCTCAACACCTTATACTAAGTCAAAGCGTGGACATCGAGAAGAAGAGCAAGAGGATTTGACCAAGGACATGGATGAACCCTCACCAGTCCCCAATGTGGAGGAAGTAACACTGCCCAAGACAGGTAAATGGTCACCTGAGTTCCTAGCTTCCATTCGTTTTCCCTAGCTTTCTGTCACCATGCCTAGACCCCTCTGCCTGAATGTCCCCTCGATATAGCTGGTGGCTAGAGCTGTCATCCCATTGAAAACCCCCCCATTCAACACTTCTTTGTGTGGGATACTGTGCTCTGTGGAGTAATCAGGCCTAGTCCCTGCCATTTAAGAGTTTGTAGTCCTTAGGGCAGACAGATGGACTGAGAAGAATATCACAGAGAAGAGAATAAAGTTGTTGAGGCAAGTGCATTTTAGATCAAATTAGAATGGAAGAAGTTATTTTTTATCTAATTAAATAAGATATGAAGGAGGTGGGATTTGAGGAGCTATTGATGAAAGGGGAAGGGGCAACAAGAGTGGATAAAGTGCTGGGCCTGGAATCAGGAAGATCTGAGCTCATATGTGACCTCAGACACTTAACTGGCTGTGTGACCCTGGGCAAGTCATTTAACCTGTTTGTCTTATTTTCCTCATCTGTAAAATGGGGATGATAACAGCACCTTCTTTTCAGGGTTATTATGAGGATCAAATAAGATATTTGTAAAGTGCTTACTTAGCACAGTACTTGGCACAGAGTAGGCATTGTATTGATGATGATGATGATGATGATGATGAAGAAGAAGAAGAAGAAGAAGAAGAAAGGGAGAGGGCTTGGTAGCAGTTGGAGCTACATAATAAGTTATAGTTCTATCTCAATATAGTCAATACCAAAAAGGACTCAGAGTCGGCACCAGTTAAAGGAGGCACCATGACAGATCTAGGTAAGGAGGGAGATGCTCACAGGAATGAAGAAGCACCTGGGGTTGGGAAAAGGGATGGCTTCCTTTGATAGAGGGAGAGAGAAGAGACTTTTAAGGGCCTGGCTACCCCCTCTGCTGCAGGTGAGTCTGTCCAGCTGGGAGGACGCCTTGGGTGTGGTTTTTACTCTTCTGTTACTAGGAGATTAACCTTTACTCCATGCTCAACTCTTTTCATTCCAGATGAACAAGAGGATGAGAGCATGGAGACCACAGGCAAGGTGGGAATGACAACAACAACAACAACAACAATAATAATAATAATAATAATAATAACAACAACAACAACTATGGGATTCCAAAGCTCTTACTATCCAGAATTATCCAGGATCTCCTAGGGCCAATTGTAACTACTCTTCAAGCCTCTGACTCTTTTAGGCCCTAGAGTCCTTAGCCACCTGTCCTCATTCCCTGCCCCTGTTCACTTCCCAAGATGGTAGGAGAAATGGGAGTTGGTAAAAGGAAGAAAGGGAATGCTAAATAGTCAGCAGTGTCCATGCTTTTAGGATGAGGATGAGAGCAGCACTGGCAACAAGGGCGAGCAGGCGAAGAACCCTGACCTTCATGAGGACAACGTGACTGAGCAGACTCACCACATCATCATCCCTAGCTATGCGGCCTGGTTTGACTACAATAGGTACTAGTGTCTCACTTCTAGTCTGCTGATATGTTCTGGAGCCTCTGCTCAACCCAGCTAGAAGAGAAGAGGACAATTCTATTCTGAAAGATTACCTAGCCTCGGCCAATAAGTTCTCCCTAACAAATAACCTCCATCATTCCTACTTCAAAATTTGGCTGCTTTTTCTTCTGCCTAATGTAGGAAAAAGAGCCCTGGATTTGGAGTCAGAGGTTCTGGTGTCTAGTTCTTGTTCTGGTCCTCTACTTACTACCTGTGAGACCTTGGGCAAGTCAGTTAATGTCTGTAGGTCTCAGTTTCCTCATATTCAGAATAGGAGATGAACTTTATGATTAAGGAGCACCTTTCTAGCTCCAAATCCCATGTCTGATCCCAGGCTTTGCTCTCAACAGCTTCCCTTTATCCACCACCTCCTAAAGTCACCCTGCTTTCTCTTACTTTTCTTTTCTTTTACAGCGTCCACGCTATTGAGAGGAGGGCTCTGCCAGAATTCTTCAATGGCAAGAACAAATCCAAGACCCCAGAAATGTAAGGAAACCTCAGTCTTTGTTCTTATCCTACCTTTTGTGTCATTGCTTCCAGTGTCAGGGGTAAGGGGCAGTGAGGGATTGTGGGTGTTTTTTATACCTCAAGTGTTGTTTAGATTGGTCTTACTGGTAGGTTTGAGTGGTACTTTGTTAGGGTTTCTGAAAGGCTTCCCCAGCGCCTCTTAAGTCCATTCTCACACTTGTTTGAGATTCCTTTAACACCAGACAAATCTCTTCACTCTGTAACTAACGATAACACGAATACAAAGACGTCCAAGAGAGGAAACAGCATGGACGAGGTTTTAAAAAGTAAATATCTGTCAGTTGAGCCTTCTCCCAAAGTCCTTACCCTTAAGAAACTTTCAGTATATTCAGGACATAGTTAGATGAACTCATTCCAGGATGGGGAGAGCATCAACAAGTGGAGAAATCGAGGACAGGCTCTGTGTAAGAGGCGGCTCTCTTGTTCTGCTCTGAAGGAAGCTACCTCCATCCCTTTTCACCTCTGCCTCTTGGAAGCGTCCCTCATTCTAGCCGTTCCCTGAGCTAGATGTCATCTTTTCCTCCTTAGATTTTCTTTTAGCACTTTCCTGGATCTCTTGTTTTCCTTGATGACATTCTACCTTGTATTATTCTCATTCATGTACGTGTCTCCTCTTCTCCCACACCAACTCTTCAAATAGATCATAAATTCCTTGAGAGGGACATTGTTGTTTTTCATCTTTTTATCCCTGGTACCTAAAACAGTGTGTAACCTTGTAACAAGTCCTTAGCATATGTTAGTTGAATTGAATTTTCTCAGAATAAGTTTTGATCAAGAACACAGACCAGGAGGACACTGGGTCTTTGAAGAAGGGAGTGAAAGAGTGATTATCAGGGTGATGAGGGAAATAGGTGAAAGGAAAGACTTGGGCCATTTTAGATTTCCACATGCCAACCCTGCTGCTGTCCTGGCCTCCCGTTAGCTGAGATGTACTTGAGTTGTGTTCAGCTTGCATACTCTCAAGATACGTTCAGCTTGACTTTTTGAAAAAAAAATTTTATTAGTATATTTTTTTAACAATTTCCAGTGAATGCTCCCTGCCCAAATAGTTATGTTCCTTGAAAACAGTTAAGCAAAACCACCTGCAAAATGAGAGAGTTGGACCCAGCGGCCTCTGTGGTCTCTTCTAGCTCTGCACCGGAGCCTATGATCTAATGGGGTGATCTCCTCTGTTAGCACATAACTGCTTTCCGCATTTGTAGTTTACTGATTGTCGTCAACAGAAAGGAAGGGGGTGTATTTCAATTTTAATAGGGTGGTACCAGTCTTATATTTGACCTGACTTTTATTGCCCTTTAGTTTAATTTGTCTTCCTTGCTGAGGAACAGTTGTCTTTCCTTTCCTGCCCTTCAGCCCCCTTTCCTTTTACCAACACTTCTCCCATTCTCCCAGCTACTTGGCCTATCGAAACTTCATGATTGACACCTATCGACTGAACCCTCAAGAGTACCTCACCTCCACTGCTTGCCGTCGGAACCTGGCAGGTGATGTCTGTGCCATCATGAGGTAGGACTTGTGATTGGTGAAAGAAGGTAGTGAGGATGTTGGTTGCCCTCAAGTGTTTCTGGGCAGAAGTAGAAACCCCAGGTAGATGAACTGTGGGGAAAGAAGGGGAAGAAACAGAAAGAAAGCACTCCCTTCACTTTTGTGAGTACCCTGGAATGACCTCTTTCTCTGCCTCCTGGCCCTCACAGAGTCCATGCCTTCCTGGAACAGTGGGGTCTAATCAACTACCAGGTGGATGCAGAGAGCCGACCAACTCCCATGGGACCCCCACCCACTTCTCACTTCCATGTCCTAGCTGACACACCCTCAGGGCTGGTACCACTGCAGCCCAAGACACCCCAGGTAGGAATGGAGTGCTAAAGGGAATAGATTGGGGGGGTGAACAAACTGGAATCCTAGGACTTTCCATTTCTGGTTTTTGAGAATGGAGTAAATTGTCGGGCCAGAGATATTTGCAGCGTTTTACCTTTTCTTGAGATAAAAGGGACCAGGCAAGTCAGGCCGCCATGTGTTTGATATCTATGTGAAGATACAAAGGAAGGAAAAGTTCCTCTGGGGTGGATTATCTAATATGGGACAGGATACATGTGTAGAAAAATAGAAAATAAAAAGTTCACAGAAAGCTTTTAAAATGTTTTTATTGTTAGGCATTTTAGCTATTTCAGAGTAGCCCTTTGAAGAATGTAGGGCAAGTAGATACATCATTTCCATTTTACCTATAAAAAAGGCTTAGAAAAACTCAGTCGCATAAAGTTCATAGAGCCAGAACTAAGAATATAATAGGTCTCTTGACTTATATAGGTCAGTTTTCTAGGCATACCTATAGAGAAACCTATACAAATGAATATTATGCCAAATACTGTGATGGAATGAAGAGGCAACATTGCTCAAAGGGAGAACTGCCCCAACTTCCTATGTGTTTCCTATGTGCTCCACTCATTTAATCTGCCTAGTACCCATGACACCGACCTTTGTCCACTAGGGTCGCCAGGTTGATGCTGACAACAAGGCTGGGCGAAAAGGCAAAGAGCTGGATGAACTGGTACCGGAGACAGCTAAGGGAAAGCCAGAGCTGGTAGGTGGAGTATAGCACCCCTCAACTTCTTGCTAACCCCTTAAAAAGTAAGAAAGAGGGACCTTCCTTAGAGGGAATGGGTATGGAAACATGAGGTACTAAAATAGTGGGAAAGGAAAACAAACCTCTCTATTAGCTGTGGAGCTTGGGCAAGAAGCTCTCCATTCCCATCCCCATTCTCACTCTGCCCTGTCTTTGCTTGATCTTCCCTCCTAACAGCAGACCTCAGCTTCCCAGCAAATGCTTAACTTTCCTGACAAAAGCAAAGAGAAACCAGCAGATATGCAGAACTTCGGACTACGGACAGATATGTACACCAAAAAGAATGTACCCTCCAAGGTTTGAAACGTGGGATGGGGGGCAGGGACAGAGAGGGAACCAGCGTGTAGACTGCATGGCAACTTACTTGTATAGATCCTGTCTTCTTTTCTTTTCCCCTTTTCTGCATCCTCTATAGAGCAAAGCCGCAGCCAGTGCAACCCGTGAGTGGACAGAACAGGAGACGCTACTTCTTCTGGAGGTAACTGGGGCGCTGAGGGCATTGTGTCCTGTCCTGAACCTTGGCTTTTACTGTAGCTTTCTCCCCTTCCAGACTTTCCCTTCACCAAGCACCTGAGAATTTTAGCCATCAGAGTTAGAACCATCAATCCATCAATAAATCAGTCAACGAATGTTGAATTTAAAATGGAGAACTACTTCACGCTCTTCATCCCCCTTTCTTGGTGCTGCCTGGGAGAGGGATGTTGACAAAGAGGGAAGAAAGCTCAGCTGAGTCATGACTTCCCCCATTCGCAGGCACTGGAGATGTACAAAGACGACTGGAACAAGGTGTCGGAACATGTAGGGAGTCGCACACAGGATGAATGCATTCTGCACTTCCTCCGTTTGCCCATTGAGGACCCGTACCTAGAGGACTCGGAGGCCTCACTGGGGCCCCTTGCCTACCAGCCTATCCCCTTCAGCCAGTCTGGTAACCCCGTCATGAGCACTGTTGCCTTCCTGGCCTCTGTGGTTGACCCCCGAGTGGCTTCTGCTGCTGCCAAGTCAGCCTTAGGTAATGTAGAGAGGGTGTTCTCTGCCTATTCCCACAACCAGTTACATCAACGGTTGTCTGATTTACCTGCCTCACTGGCTCAAGGGACAACCCAGAACTCCAAACAGATGGACTCTGCACAGGGTCTTTAAGAGTAATAAATGTACTAATCTTTTCCTCTGGGGTGGGGAAGACATTCAAGGCTGTCAAGTTTAATGACGTGGACCACCAATCGTCCTTTCTGGGCATTGCAGAAGAGTTCTCCAAGATGAAAGAAGAGGTTCCCACAGCCCTGGTGGAGGCCCATGTTCGCAAGGTGGAGGAAGCAGCCAAAATGACAGGCAAAGCAGACCCATCCTTCGGTTTGGAGAGTAGTGGCATTGCAGGAACCACCTCTGATGAACCTGACCGGATGGGTGAGGATGTCTCCTTTCAGCGTCGTTGTGGGCAATGTGCGATGTGTTAAGAGCTGGCTTGGTTGGTTTTCTCAGAGCCAGTAAGGTCGCTTGTAAGGAATGATCCCTGACACCCCTTCATTTGTCCTCACCCTTCAGTTCTGACTGATAGAATGAACAAATTGGAAATTAGTTACAGACACTAACTCTGTATGTCACATTTCTTATTTTCCCTTCGCTTTCTTACAGAAGAGAGTGGGGCTGATGAGACTCGGGCAGAAGGCCAAGTTGCAGAGGAGAAAAAAGAGCCCAAGGTACAGCAGCACTGACCTCTTCTTGGGATGGTGGTCTGGCTAGACTGTGAGACAGAAAGCAAGTGGAAACTGGCATGAAATATTGTGGAATATGTGTGTTTTCCCCAAAGTATCCTTTCTGAAGGCAGAGGGAAAAACTTGGGTAGCCAAGTTTGGGTATGACCATGTTCATACAAGATTCAGATCTATATTGATGCTGTTTCTGCCCCCTTTTTCCATGGGGACTTTAGGAACTACGGGAAGGAAGTGCCACCACAGAAGAAGAAGTAAAGGATAAACCAAGTGAAGCACCCAAAAAGGAGGAAGAGAAGGGAAAGGAAGGTGACATTGAGAAAGAGTCGGAGAAGAGTGATGGGGACCCCATGGGTGAGGCTTTGGGATGGGTGGATCAAGAGTCTAGAAAGGAAAGATGGGGACCCACAGGGTTGACTTAATCTTTGTTTTCCAATTTCAAGCTGACCAGGAAAAAGAGAAGGAGCCAAAGGAGGGACAGGAGGAGGTGCTAAAGGATGTGGTTGAGGCTGAGGGTGAGAGGAAAACCAAGGTAGAGCGGGACATCGGCGAAGGCAACCTCTCCACTGCAGCCGCTGCTGCCTTGGCAGCGGCTGCTGTAAAAGCCAAGGTGAGGCATTGCTCTGAGGGTCCCCGATGCCTTCAAGTCACACGAGTTTAGATTCCCAGCACAACCAGCCTGACTTGTCTAGGGGTCACTCTTTTGTTTTAGGTTATCTGGGAGAGGAGCTGACATTCTCTGTATCTCTTCATTACTCACAAGAAATTCTTTATGCTCTTCCATCTCCTTCATTTCTGCTACCATTTCCTCATTATCCTTAATAGAGATGGGGAATAATAGGTGACCATCATTTGTAGACCAACCCTTATATTCAAGGCACCTTAGTTGCTTCTCTACCCTAAATAGTCTAACCTTTTTAGCTTTTCTTTCTTGCTTCTATTTTTCAGGGTTTTTTGGTTCTTTTTTTTTTTATATCTACTGCAATTTCTTCATATCTTTTTTAAAATGTCAAACTCCATAATGGAGCAGAACTGTAATTAGTTGATGATCTCTTGGAAGTTGCCAGACTTTTTCTTGTCTTTGTAATTCTTGGGATCTCCCCAATGAACGCCTCACCGTGGCCTCTTCTGCTCTTCCCCCAGCACTTGGCTGCAGTTGAAGAGAGGAAGATCAAGTCCCTGGTGGCCCTGCTAGTAGAGACCCAGATGAAGAAACTGGAGATCAAACTTCGGCACTTTGAAGAGCTGGAGACCATCATGGACCGGGAGCGAGAGGCCGTGAGTAGCCTCCCCCAGGGACTCAGCAGGAGCTCTGGAAGCACCCCCATCATTGAGCCAGTGTCTCAGTTTAGGACAGGAAGTGAAGCTGCAGAGCAGAGAGAAAACGGTGTCTGGCAGGGCTCCTGAGAAGTGGAGAGTAGCCAAGGCCAGAGCAGGGGAAAGTCGACCCCAGGCAGCTAAGAGGAAAGTGAGGCAGTGGGTGTGAGAGTGCAGGTGAGTGAAGAAAGGGCCATGGGTTTGGGGGTGGAGAAGGGGCGGAAGGGGGGTTAATATTGAGAATGTGAACTGGGGAAGGAGCTGAAGGGGCTAATGATAAAAAGGCAATCATGGGAAACAATGATGACCTTTGGGAGGAGATAAAGGAATAACACCAAAAATGACCAATAAATACAAAGTACTATAATGCAAATTAAAATATTAAGTACATGAGTCCCAAGAAGACTTCAGTTCAGAGAATTCAGTTGAGATCGATCATAATTGGGGGCCTTTAAGATGAAGTTCAGGTGCTACCTTAATGAAGCCCTTCATGCTCCTGCTAAGGCCTTCCTTACCACCCTATACTGTATCTCTTTTGTACATACTTGTATGTGTGTATGTTGCCCTTCTTGAGATAAGGAAGTTTCATTTTTTGTCTTTGTGGCCCCACGCTAACACAGAGAAAGCACTTAATAAATGTTTGTGGATTGGTTGATTGAAGTTTCCTGAGGGCAGGGAACTTTGAATTAGATTTTGAAGAAGGAGACAAACAGCTGAGCGTGGTGGCACATACCTATAATCCCGGCTTCTGGGGAGACTGAGGCTGGTGGATCTCTGGAACTCTGGAATTCCAAGCTGCAGGGGTCTGGGCTGACTAGTTGTTTACACAAAGTTTGGGATCAGTATGGTTAACCCCAGAAGCAAGGGCCCATCAGGCTGCCTAGGGAGGGGAGAACTGACCCAGGGTGGGAGTAGGTCACACTCCTGTGCAGACCAGTAAGGGGGATTAGACTTGTAAATAGCCCCTTCCACTCCAGTCTTGGGAAGATGGAGAGACCCAGTCTTGGGGGGGAGCGGGGGCGGGAGAGAGAGAGAGAGAATAGGTGAGACCTAAATCCTAGTAGTAACAGTTAGAGACTGGAGGGTAAGAATGAGTAATGTGAAGGAATGTGAAAAGGATGGCACGCAAATTAGGAGAAATGTGAGAAGGGAACCTAGTGAAACGAAGAGCAGTTTATTCATTTCTTCTGTCATTCTACAAATATTAACATCCATGTGCAAGCCCTGTGCTAGGTGCTGAGGAAATACAAGGTTTAGATGAGACTTGATCCTACCTTCATGGAGCTTCTGGAGTCTACTGGGGGAGGAAAGACCACCACAAATAACTATAACATGCTGTAATATACCATAAGCACAGTTGTTGGAGATGCTTTGGAAATCAGGCGTAGGGATTTGGATTTTATATGCTGAACGAATATGAAACCATGCTAAGATAATCTAATGAGGGTATCTGGGTGTTGCTTCTGCCATCTCCTGAGCTGGAATAACGATGCCCAAATAACATTGACAGCTGGAGTACCAGAGGCAGCAGCTGCTGGCTGACAGACAGGCCTTCCACATGGAACAGCTGAAGTATGCAGAGATGAGGGCACGGCAGCAGCATTTCCAGCAAATGCACCAACAGCAACAGCAGCCTCCCCCAAACTTACCCCCTGGCTCCCAGCCAGTACCACCCACAGGAGCCTCTGTGCCACCCCCTGCCCACAGCTTGGCTGTGGCTCCACCCTCTGTGGCCCCTACTCCTGCTGGTACTGGGGCCCCTCCTGGCGGCTTGGCCCCCACTGAACAGATGGGACAGACAGGGTCAGCCTCAGGGTCACAACAGCTACAACCAGCTGGAGCTTCCCAGCCGGGGACAATCCCACCTGGAGCACCCCCCACTGGACCCCATGGTGAGTTATAATCAGATTGTGTCCTGGAACCTATTGACTTCATGATGGTGGTATAATTGTGGCATATTTGAGGCCACTGTACTAGTGTTAGGGAACCCTGAACACTAGCTAAATATTTCAGGTTCCCCTCTTTAGGAATTGGGTAAAGGGAATGAAGTGGATGAGCTCAGGTATGTTTAGAGTGGTCAAATTATGTTTCATCTGTAAGCCAGTAGAGGTCACTCACTGGCAAGTACTTTATCTGTCTCAACACTTGGCAGCACCCATCCCCATTCCTTGTAAAGCTAATAATAACATACATTTATGTTTATCTTATGACAATACCTTTTAGATAGATATGTGAATATTATTATCTCCATTTTACAGATGAAGAAATTGAGGCTCTGAGGAGTTTAAGTTATAGGAGCTGGGAACCATACTGGACTATTCATTGTTCTTTCCACTATAATACTATGGAGGGAAGTCACATGGAGATCTATCTGCCCCTTGCCCTTACGTCAGCAAAGGGAAAGATGCAATACAGGGGAGAAGGGGGTATCTTAGCCAAGCAAACTGGGTAGAAAATACAGTTTTTAACTCCTAACATCTTCTTCTTTCTTTTCTAGGCCCCTCACCGTTCCCTAGCCAACAAACTCCTCCCTCAATGATACCAGGGGCAGTGCCAGGCAGTGGGCACCCAAGTGTGGCCGGTAATGCTCCTTTGGGTTTGCCTTTCAGCATGCCACCTCCTCCTCTTCCTCCTCCTCCATCATCCATCATCCCATTTAGTAGCCTAGCTGATTCCATCAATATTAACCTTCCTCCTCCTCCTAACCTGCATGGGCATCACCACCATCTCCCGTTTGCCCCGGGAACCCTCCCCTCACCTAACCTGCCTGTGTCCATGGCGAGCCCTCTACATCCTAACCTGCCGGCGACCACCACCATGCCATCTTCCTTGCCTCTCGGGCCAGGGCTGGGATCCGCTGCAGCCCAGAGCCCTGCTATTGTGGCAGCTGTTCAGGGCAACTTCATGCCCAGTGCCAGCCCGCTGCCAGGTGAGATGGGACTAGGAGGGGACTGGGGGGAGAAAGGGCGGCATGAGGGGATGTGTGGTGGGATCAAGGACAAATAGGAAGGTCAGTGACTGACTAGAGCTTCCCATTCCTTGCTGCATACTGACTCTGGTAATGTCAAACACAGGAGAAGGGGACCCTCTAACGCTCCTCCACCACTCCCCAAACTGGTAGTCATGGGGTTCACCGCCCAGCCTGCCTGGGACGCAGTTGTTACAGCTGGAATGAAGTTAGGTTGTTACTGGTGGGTCAGAGAGGGGCCATGTTGTGAAAATGCCTAAGCTATGAACTCAGAAAATGTTTCTAATTTGCATGATTGGCATCTTATTTGCATGTTAATTTCATGTCCAAATGGTCCCATGTCTCCAGTACCTGACCCTGTCACAAGAGATTTAGCTGCCTCAAGCTTAAACTCCTAGTAGACACTCTCAAGGTTGACCTAGATCACTTATTAGATTTCTCAGGGGGAGCAAGGGAAAGATTTGGGCTTTAGCAACCTCATGCATTATTAGGTATTGGGCTATCCACAGAGGAAGGTGTCCTACTCATCCACTGTGAGCTTCATACCCTGGCTATATATTTGTCTGTCTGTAGTGGCCTAAATCTGTCTCATCTTTCAATTCAGCTGATTGATCTACTTCTTTTTCACAGACCCAGGCACCCCAATACCCCCAGACCCCACAGCCCCCAGCCCAGGCACGGTCACCCCAGTGCCACCTTCGCAGTGAGGAGCCAGCGGACACCTCTTCTCTGCCCATTCCTGGTTTGGAGACTTGGCATCCTGGAACAGCCTGCCCACCCCAAAGGACAGAACATGCTGCCTTCCCCAACCCCCTTTACAAGTTGGACCTCTCCCCAGCCTGGACAGGTCATCACTACGTAAGGAAAGTCTGTCTTTCCCATTCCCCACCGTGTCGTTTGTGCCTCAAAGGCACGACGTTTATATCTGATTGTATCAAGACTTTTATTTAAAAGAGATTACTAATGTCTGGGGAAGGGGATAGGAGGAGAATACTATACCAGAGAAGAGGGGCTAGTAGGGAGGTACTGGGTTGTGGGTATTTATACCAGGTTCTGATTAACCACTTCTTAGGGGTATATCCCCTTCTTATTGCAGCTTTGTGGAATTTTTTTAAAAGGATAATAAATTCAAAAACACTTTTAAAGGGAAAGAAGGAATGGGAGAGGAAACCCACATTAGAGCTTTTCCCCCGTCCCTTCCTCAAATTAAAAAGAAAAAAAGGTTGAGGTGGTTCTGATCAACAAGAACAGGGGAAGAGTGCTAGAGTGAATTCTAGAGAGGAATCAGTGGCCTCTGGGCTCCTTGCCCTTTCCCCAGCTTCAGCACACGCCCCCCCCCCCCAACTCTTTGGGAGTATCAATTCAGTCCTCTCTCCAGATCACTGAGAATAAACTCTGCTGCTGCTTCCTCAGATAATGTCACTGTTTTAGGCCCTCCCCACCTTTCCCCTCCTGTCCCAAGCTAGGCAAATCCCTCTAAATGTCAAGTTGTGTGTGTATGTATGTGTGTGTGTGTGTGTGTGTGTGTGTTTTTTAATTGGCTGCTTAGACTGTATGTATGTGTGTGTGTGAGTGTGTGTATATGGGGGTGGGACAGGGAAAAGACTTTGGGAGTTTAGAGTCCTTCGATAAATGGTAGGGAGGAAGGGACTGGAGTCTGTATCTCAGCTCCCTAAACTTAATTAATTACTTTCCCAGAGGGAATGAAAGGTAGAGTTGGCAGAAGATGGAATGTTTTTAAAACCTGAAATTTTAAAAAAGCACTTAAGCACCTCCCTTTTATTGATTTCAACCCTTTCCCCTATCAAGACCACCAGAAACATTCATTTCTACAAGTGATCATCTCTGGAACTTGGGGATTCAGGGAGGGAAGTGGCAGAGTACAGTGTAGAGCTATTGGCAATAGCTGTCAAGCTCTCCCCACTCTCCGAATCCTTCTCCTTGATTCACCCTGGATGTGAAGACAAAACTGACTCTTCAATCTGCCCTCCTCCTGGAGCCAGCATCCCCCTATAACCCGTCTCTTCCCACCTGGGCCCTTTGTTTCATGTGCCCTTTTACAAGGTACCCACACTTACTCTCCCTTATGTGGCTCAGCACCTTCTGTTAAGTCTTCTGTAAATTTTCCTTTTTTTTTTATAAATTAATTTGCTTTTCACTTCCATCTTGTGGGTTCCTGCTGTGTTGTGTTACTTGACTTTACTAATTGGCAAAAGTAGAATGGGCTGGATAGTTTTTGTTGGAAGTTTTGGGAGAAATCAAAGTTCTCTGAAGAGATAATAAATGTGGGGTCTCCCCACCCAGGGCAGAATATTTTTGTCCAGTAGACAAAGCTGCAGATCTGATTAGCTTTTCAAGGTCTGTGTAGTCCCTCCCAAACCAAAGTTTAGTTTCCTTGAACCTTTTAGGGACTAGAGGCCTTCTGTCCTTCCCATATTAGGAGATAAGAGAACTCAATCTTCCATTTTGCTGTGACCTGAGGATGGTTGACATAGTTGGCCCAGTTTGAACGCAGCTCAGCTATGGCTACCTATTCATTTGGGAGGGAGGTGGTAAGAACAACTGTTGGGAACAGGAATGAGCACTGAGCCTTTATTAGCTTGGGCAGGAGGTGTGATTTTGTTTCCTTTCTCTCCTGGTTAGAAGGCAGCTAGCTGGGACCACCACTTGTTTCCCTTAACCAAGGGTGGGGAACCTGCTGCCTCCAGGCAGGTCCTCAAGTGCAGCTGATCGAATCCTAACTTCACAGAAAAAAGCCCCTTAATGAAGGAATTTGTTCTGTAAAACTTGAATTCAGTCAAAAGGCCACATGCGGCCTCAAGGCTGCAGGTTCCCTACCCCTGCCTGAACCTTTGGCCCATCCACTCTGGCAAAAGAACAAGAACAAACCAGATGGTCAGGAGCAAATAGCAAATTTATTTGGTGAAAGCAGAGAGCAAACTGGCCAAAGCCGACATATGGTGGGGGGTTGGAAGTAAGGATGTTGGTAACCCTGAAAATGTAGTTAGTTGCTTCAGGGGCAAGAGGATGATTTTCACACTGAGAAAAGTTAGGGGGTTCTTTGTGGAAAGGGGAGTTGTTCTCAGCCATTCAGCACCATCCGGACTAGCTCTGTGGAGAAAGAAATGGGGATGAGCTAGGGAGCAGACAAACAGGGGAGGGGCTAGCTGAGGGTGGTGGGACGTCTAGACCCCTAAGGTGGCAACAGTAGAACTATCCCCCAGAGTCCAGCTCTGGAGGTGATTATACAGGATAGAAGAGCCACCTATGGGGTTTGACTTGGCCACACTGCCCCCAGCTTCCCTCCCAAAACTTGTTAGTCCCCATTCCACCCTGAGCAGCAAGGACACAGCAAAGGTAGAGAAGGCGCGCCTCCCCTCCCCCCAGACTACCACCTATAGGCACTGTCAACCCATGGCAGGTGAAGGGGAGAACACAGTGGGTTTATTTTGGAGAAGGGGGAGATCACCTCCAAGCTGCCTAGCAAAAGGAAGGGATTTAACTGTAGCAGAAGCTGGCCAGGCAACCCTCCCCCATCGCCAAAACCCTCACCCAGGGATATGGACAAGGGCAAGATAGCACCCTAAAGCAAGACTGTCCCAGGCCTGGTAAATTGCCAGACACCTGGGTACCAAAAAGCTAGACCTCAAAGAGCCCAGGGCAAAATTTGAGGGGCATATGGAGATGAGGTAATACCTAGACAGTCTTCCTTTATGCAGGGGGACTACCCTCCCCTTCCCAATCAGACAGGTCCATGCAGAAACATGCCAACAGAAAGTGAGAGGTGAGAGGCAGAGGCAGGGGACAAATAGCAAAAGAGAAGAAAGGGAAGGCAGGGAAGGGATCAGGAAGGAGACACGGGAAAGTCAACTTGGGAGGAAAGGGAGGAGAGGCTGGGAGGAGCCGTACCCGCCCCATGGGGCCCTTCACCCCGACAGGATATGCCTCACAAACGCTGCAGGAAGGAAGAGACATTAATGGTGAAGACAAGACACAGACATAGGGTGGTGGGGTGTCACACAGGGATGTGAGGGGAGACATCCTATTCCTTATATACTTTCCACCCTTCACATCCAGCTCTCTTCCTACCCCCCTCTAACCTCCCGAATCTGAGCTAGGCCCTACCCCTTGACTGCCTCCAAAGTACTTTTTGAGCCATCAGCCCACCTAGAGATACAACTCCTTGCCCACAGTGGGGTGCTAATAAATGCTGGCAGAACTGACTTGTAGGAGGAGAAAGATTCTCCTGCCATCATCTCCTGAGGGCAGCAGGGACTTTCTTTTTTGCCTTGTTATCCTTGGCACCAAGGAGACATTTGATGTCTACAGACTAACTGATGACCCTACCTCAACTTTCCATACTGCTAAACCCTTCCCAGAAAATGCTGAACATGCCCCTCTCACCTTCATAGTTGATACAACCGTTGCTGTCTTCATGCCCTGCCACCAACACTTCCACTTCTTCCTCTGTCATTTTCTCACCTGTGGAGAGGGAACCAAAGCTCTCAGGGCATCAGCAGACTAGGGAAAAGTAGGGAAAGACTCCCAAGGACCACAGGGAACCTGGAGATCTGTCGACTTGGTAGAAGGAGGCCTTACCCAGGGTGATGAGGACGTGTCGTATTTCAGCCCCCATGACTGTGCCGTTCCCTTCCTTATCAAATACCCGAAGCCCTTCTACATAGTCTTCATATGTGCCCTGGTCCTTATTCTTTGCTACAGTCTGCAGCATTGGCAGAAAATGTTCAAAGTCCAGCACCTTCACATTCATCTCTGTCCCAGAGAAAAGGGGGGGTTAATGTTAGTGGCATCAGGTCAGAATGGCCATTTTCCATATTCCATGGGCAGAGGGGCTCTGAAAAGGAAGCCAGATCACCACTATCTTGACTCCTTTTTGACTGGGTTTTTTTTCTTTTTTTTTTTTAGGTAATTGGGGTTAAGTGACTTGCCCAGGGTCACACAGCTAGTAAGTGTCAAGTGTTTGGTTTGAGGCCAGATTCAAACTCGGGTAACTCCTGACTTAAGGGCTGGTGCTCTATCCACCGCACCACCTAGCTGCCCCTTGATTGGGTTTTCTTTTCTTTTTCTTTTTTTTAAAATCTGACATTTCCCAATATAACCCTGTAACAATTTAGAACCCTCCTCTGTAACAGCAACCATAACAAAAACAAAACAAACAAACAAAAAAACCAGTTGAGCTAAACTACAAAATCCAAAAGCCTAAGGGAAAATCTTCAGTATCCCATCTTGAGGAAGGAATTCCTTCTGCCCTTCTTTCCCCTCCAACAATTGCTAAAAGGAACCTTGTACAGATTGGGTAACCCCACATACACTAGGCTCTCCAGAGATAGGTTGTTTTCACCTTGAGCAACATTCTTGGAGAATTCCTAACTGCACCCCCAAGTCACATTCTTGGGGCCCTCTCTCACCATCACTCTTGGGATTCCCTAAGACCTTGAGCACCTCAGCATTGGTAGGGTTCTGGCCCAGGGCTCGCATCACATCCCCACACTGGCTGTATAAGATCTTTCCATCTCCTGTTCGGTCAAACAGCTGGAAGGCCTCCTTGAACTCTGGTGGGGGGAGGCAAGAAACAGATGAGTGTCAAAAATGGATGTAAATATCCTAAAGCTCCAGATACATTCACTTAGGTCTGGAGAAAACAAACTCCTGGGTGACTCTACCAGACTGAATCTGGTTTCACTTCTGATCAGGTTTCTCAAAGGACCCACATAATTCTACGTAAATTTCCTGATACTTGCCTGGATTGGGGGTACTCCATCTCCCTAACTCCCCTCTAATTTCCCTCCTACCTCAAAACTCACTCAGCCCCGCCTTTACTCCTGGGGGTGGAATGCGCCACCGCCCAGTCTAGGTTCCAGCCCTTATAAGGAAGTAGGTGCAGCCCAGGGCTCAGGACATCCCAAAAGAGCCAGTTTTTTCACCCCCATTCCCTAAATAGACAGGGCTTCCTGTCCATGGATAGAGAGTTCCAGCCAGATCAAGCCCCTGCTCCCTTCCACTCAAATTCCCAGGGCCCCATACCCTCCAGAGTCACAGTCCTCATCCCTGCCCCAAGGTCTAAGGGTAGAGTGGACACACAGAGCAGAGCGTCACAAATAGGTAAGACAAGAGGAAGTCGGTTAATAGGGAGAGAGGGCAAGAGCAGGCAGCCTAACACCCTGTCCCCAAACCATCACAGCACACACGAGGAGTTATATAACCAAAGTCTTCACACACCGGCCCCCGAAAACAAACTCACCCAATGCTTGGGGCTCAGATCTAAAGAGAGGAGGAGGAGGAGGAGAGTGAAGAGGAGAGACAGAGTAAGAGAAAAATGGAAGAAACTGGGAGGAGAAAGGAGACGTCTCACACACCCTTGGATGGGTGTGCGGGATGATGCCGGAGGGAGGGCCCAGCAGACAGGGGGATCTGGAAATGCCCCTCTCCCCCCTTCAGGGTGGGTCAGAGGTCACTCACCTGCTGTCTGATCCTCCGTGAAGTCACACTGCGGCCCAACAAAGAGGGGAGGGGAGGAGAGGTCAGCGTCCAGGCTTCCACACCCAAAGGGCTTCCCCCCTCCCCAAACCTGCCATCTCCCACAACTTCCAACTCCTCTGGGCCCGTTTCCTCAACTGCAAAATGAGGGCATTGGACCAGCTGGTCCCCAACGCATCGTCCAGCTCCAAACTGGGTCCCTCCCCCCTGCCCTCTTAGTCCTGGGCCCCCAACCTTAACAAACAGCAACCCCCAGACCCTAAGTTAGGTTACCCGGCCCCTTCTGGGCGCCCTCCAACTCCCCCTGACCCCCAGGAACCATCCCCTAAGGCTCCCTATCTGTCCACGCCCACGCCCCTGGCCAGGCCTCTCCCTAGGTTTCCTGCCCTTCTCCTGGGCCCCACCATCTTGGCCTTGCAGCTCGCTCGCTTGCTTCTCCTGCTGCTGCTGTATGTAATGGCTCCGTCTCTCTCCCCGGCTCCAATCTGCCCGTAGAGCGTCCCATGACGTCACCCTCTACAGATTCAGCCAATCGGAAGCCTTGCCTGAGGTTTATGCAGATGAGCTCGTTGGGTTATTCATCAGGCAAGTCCGAGCCCAGGCATTTCTGGACTTGCACTGGGAGGGGGAGGAGAAAGTGGGATATGAGCTACTCCTATTTTGGAAGTGTCATCAGAAACCCTGGAGCTATGCATGCTCCTTCACCTCCTGCTGGGCCGCTGTGGCCGCCCGGGCTGGAGAGGCCAGTGGAAAAAGACCTGAACTTGGACTCAGCTTCGGGGATCTGACTCTGAATCACAGGGCCCTACGCAGTCTGGGCCAGAGCCTGGATTCAAACTCAGAGCCTCTGACTCACTCCGGATCCGTCGCTTTTCACTTCATCCCGCCATAGCCACCTCTGAACCCCATCCGTGTAAACTGTGTGCCCTTGGCCAAGTCACCAAACTCTCTGGGCCTCAGTTTCCTCCTGGTCTGTAAAAGGAAGGGGCTGGATTAGCTGACCTCCAGTCCTTAGTCTTTCCAGCTCTATAACTTATGGAGGTTACACACTAGGACAGAAGGCCCATTTTCTGTCTATTATTTCCAGGGCAGAGAAGTCCTAGAGCATGGACAATTGGAATATCATAGATTTGGGGCTGGAAGGGATCTGAGAAGTCATCTAATCTCCCCCTCTCCCCTCCTCTCCCTTCCCCCACCCATTTTACAGAGAAGGAAACTATGTTTTAAATGATTAAATTAAATTAAGGTTAAGTGACTTTCCTAATGTCACATAGCAAATGCCCTTGAAACCAGGTGCTCTGACTCTTAAATGAGGCACTCTTGAATAAACCTGGACCAAGGACCAATCATTGGGGGGGTGCATCAAAAGGATGAAGATGAAATCTTACACACAGGCACAAACACCCTTCCCTCCTCCAAATAACAGACAAGAAACTAGAAGTCCAATACTTTATTATGGAAAATAAAGCAAGGGCAGGGGGATAACACAGTATGTCTGTCCCCTCCCACACCATCCTTCTCCACTCTCAATGCAACACACATTTACTAAGTGCCTACTATGTGCAAGGCACTGGATTTTCGTCTCCCCAGGATGCAGGAGAATGCTCTGTCTGGAGAAAAGTAGGATCTACAGAGAGAGAGGCATTTGGGTGGTTTGGGTAGCTAGTACACTGCCGTCCTTCCTCCCCAACCCCCCACCCCTGTCCCTCTGGAGCAAGAAGAGGGGAACACAGCTCTCCCAGGAAAGGGGAAACTGATAGAAATAGCTTTTATCTACATTCTTTGTTGTTTTCTTTTAAAACACTTTCCCACACTAATAATTGGTTTTCACCCACAGCCTGTGAGATTGATAAAGCAAGTAGTGTTAATCTCCTGAGAAAACAGGATTACAGGAATAAAAGGACATGACCTCAGGTCCTCTGTAGCAGAGCTGACACCTGAACCCAAGGGCTTGAGTCCATATTCAATGATATTTCCAGGGCACCTTAATGTTTCTAAAGCTCCCAAAGGGGACAAAGAAAACGGTAGGGATGAAGCTGAGGAGATAGGGGTGAGGAAGGCTAGAGAATCACTCTACCTTGGGGCCTCAGTTTGACATAATGTGTTTCAGGAAGGCTGCCGAAGGAAAGTGAAAGAGGGTGGTCAGAACCAAGCACCCCTGTTCTCTCGTCCCTTCTTGGAGTATACATTATTTCTCCACTCCCAAGGACCACAGTAACCCCACTGCGCCCCTCCCCAAACTCACACATACTCCCCAAATCTCTTTCTTGCTTTCTACTCTCCTCCCTGCCCTCTCACCCTCATAGTTGATGGAGCCATTGTTGTCTTCATGTCCAGCCAGGAGGGTCTCTACCTCTTCCTCAGTCATCTTCTCCCCTATAGGAGAAGCATATAAACTTGGAGCCTCCTACCCCAACTTTAGCCATACTGTTTAGGGGTGATATTTCTTCCTCATCTTGACCCCCAAACAAAGCCACCTTAGCTTCTCTCTTCCTTCCTTTTCCCTTTTCCTCCCCAGTCCCATATCCCCTATCATTAATATTATCAATGCCATGCTTCTAGGTAGCACTTTTCTTCCAAATGACTTCACTCATGCTAGCAGAATATTCAGGTTTCGTCATCTCCTGGACAAAAGTTGAAAGTGATTTGCCCAAGGCCATATAACCAGTGAGTGGCAGAAGAAGAAATGGATGTCATGTTTTCTGATTCATCACCTTCCCATTTCACACTTCAGGTTGTCAGAACATTAAGAAATCTCATAGGTTATGCTCCCTGGAGTTTGGAGTCTTCCCCAACTTGGCTACATCTCTAACTATTCTTTCTTCTTCAGATACGTCCCTTCCAGGAAATGTCATTCCTTTGCCTAGACTGGACTGAAATGGCCACTTCCACTGCCATGCCTCTTCTGCAGTCCACAACAATCCCCTTTCCATAATACACCCTCCACAATGACCACGAAGCCCACCCCCTGCCCCTTGGCTGCACCTAGTTTTATTCCCTTGTTCAGTCCCATAAATCTGGGATCTTACCCCTTAATCTCAAGTGAACTTCTCCTCCTCCACCGTGACCTCCACCCACGAACCGCCTTTTTTTTACCTCCCAATCTTACCCAGGGTGGTGAGGACATGTCGGAGTTCAGCCCCCATGACTGTACCGTTCCCTTCCTTATCAAACACTCGAAGTCCCTCAACATAGTCTTCATATGTGCCTTGGTCCCGGCTTTTAGCTACTGACTGGAGCATGGGCAGGAAAGTCTCAAAGTCCACACGCTTGGAGTTCAGCTCTGAGGGAGTGGGTGGAGGGTGGGGACAGAGGGTACTAAATGACCCCTTCCTGGGACTCCTCCATCCAACCCTCATTACCTGGGATCTCTAGTCAGGGGACAGTCCCATTAGAACCATCCCTTCAACCCATCTGATCATTCAGTTCTGTCTTTTTTTCTTTTTTAGCAAATAGAATTTTACTGTAAGTGCATGTAGATTTTGTTTTCATGACACACATTATAAATGCATTATATACAGTACATGAACATGTCATTGAACTATATTTGGAGGAGTCACTGTTATTCTCATCTTTTAATAATACATATGTCATTTTTTAAGGGTCTTCTCTGGCTTCTATCTAATTGAACTTTAATGGTAAACCACTCCAGCATCTTTGCCAAGAAAACCCCAAATGGGGTCACAAAGAGTCAGACATGACTGAAATGACTGAACAACCACAGTGACAAAGTGACATTCATCAATTCATTTGAGGCATTAATTATGAAACTTAGCTGATTCAGTCACTTTTTAGTTTGTCTGTTTTTCATTAATCCCTTGTATTTTATAATCATAATGAGTGGGGAACCTTTGACCTCGAGGCCACATGTGGCCCTCTAGGTCCTCAAGTGCAGCCCTTTGAATTTGATCAAAGGTCTGCCCACTTGTGGCCTCAAGACCGAAGTTTCCCCACTCCTGAATCTAGTCCAACCCGTACCTGAACTGAATTGCTTCTACAGAATCCTTAGATCCTGGGCAAAGAACCATCCCTACCTCCAAAATCACTTTTAGGGTAAACACACTCAGACTAGCTAACTCAACTCACTCTTGGAGTACTTAACATCACCCTGTGAGCCCTTGGTCAACATCACCCTGTGAACCCTTGGTCATCATCATCCCCCCCCCCCCCCCCCCGCTCCCCTCCCCCGCTACTATCATCCCTGTTCCCATCATTCCTGTAGCCTCACCATCAGTCTTTGGGTGACCCAGGACCTTGAGCACCTCAGCATTGGTAGGGTTCTGGCCAAGAGCCCGCATCACATCCCCACACTGATTGTACAAGATCTTTCCATCTCCTATTCGGTCAAACAGCTGAAAGGCCTCTTTGAAGTCTGGGAATTGAGAGGGAATTTGGGTTAGCCAACAGGATCCCTCCTTCCTCAGGTTGTAAGCAGAGCTCAGAATAATAGACTAAAGAAGAACATAGCAGGAGGAAGAAATTCTGAGGACAGAACTAATATGGAGGGCAGCTCTGGGGCTGTAAAAAAAAAAAAAGAGAGAGAGAAAGAGAGAGACATAGGGAGACAGAAAGACAAGACTGTGACAGGGGATTTAGGATAGGAGGGTGGGGGTAGGTGGTTATGGTCTCCTCACCCTCCAGTTGGTCCTTGTTAAACTCGATCTGTGAAGGAAAAGACAGTGTAAAGAGGGGTGGGGTGCCATGAAACCCCCAGGCCAGGCCAGCTCCCTTCCCCCACTCCTTATAATTGGCAGTCTCTGTGGAGTGGCCCAAAGGGACCCAGCTGGGAACTGTGAGCGCCTGAGTCCCTAGGAGAATACCAGCAGTGGGTTTGTGGGAGGGAGATCTTCCTGGGAAACAAGGCTAATCCAGCACCACCTGTTCCTTCCCCCTGGCTGTCCCAACCCTGCATCCCTCACATAACCGGCAGTTGAACAAAAGCTAAATTTACCCCCACACCCCCAGCTGTGATTGTCTAACAAGTCCCACTCCCCACCCTCCCTTCTCAGACCAACATGCTCCTTCCCTCCCTTTCAGCCTCTTTTCCTAGGCCCTGAAGGGTGGGAGCAGAGGATGGACACTGGCCCCTTCTTTCTCTCTCCTCTGAAACAGTCCCAAGGAGTTGAGCATCCCCGTTCCCAGATTCTTGTGTTCCCCACATCTCTGTTCTCCACTCAAGGTGTAAAGGGGTGCCATTATGTACCATATTGAAGAGACAAGAGGGGAAAAGTGAATTGGGGCACCTGGATTAAGACCCCTAATAACCCCATCCTACAGATTCAGTATCTGGCTTCTGGGTTTGTTAAGGGGGAGCTAAGGCAACCCC